AGTGCAGCAGTGATAAAGTACGCGGCCACCATCAAGTAAATTTCCATTTCCACGCATGTTAAATATACAGAGGTTTTAGTTTCACAGTGGGCTGGCCATTGATCAGAGTCATTTTAGACTCGCTGTTTGCTACCAAGACATTGGAACAGTATGCATTTCTTTTGATGCAGGCCCTTTGGGTCTTAACCACTGACATTTTAACGTCTTACAAGACCTTTTCTGGTCCTTTGGTGTTGTAACTGCAAGTTATTTTTGCTCTGGGCTTTAAGGATCACTCACGGGTGCTTTGTGAATACTGGGAGAAAATTGATGACATTGTGGGAGTAAATATTCTGGAGATATTTTGGGCCAGGTCTCATAAAAATATTATTTAGAAAGTTTGTTTTCAAACCTAATCAATACATGTATCACAATTTTACAGTTCAGGGTATTTTTTGTTCTCAAAATTTTTAAAATGTACAGCAACTCATGACGAATTATCTCGAATTACAGTTTTAATGTCATTGTGTACTGAAACCCCGGGATGACCTCTGTTCAAAACGTAGGGAAAATTCAACGGATCTGCAGCGCTCCCACACTTGCTTACCTCTCAAATTACATTTGAAAATGAGACGATATACCCACAAGAAAATTACCTACTCTTCAGTCCATTGATGCTGATGGTTGCGATCTCAAACGTTAGTTTTCTTTATGCCAATGAAGTCACATCCTACTTTGATGCGAATATAAGCTGTGTATAAAATACACACCAAATTTTTTGGGGATAAAATTCTGAGCATTCGAAAGCAGCCACTGCACCTGTACTGACATCGCCCAGTTTTATGAGGCTGCATGTCAAGTCAACCCATTATGAATTTTGTTCCCAACAAATCTATCCAGAATTGCTCCACCTCCACTATAATGATAATGGGTACACATTTCTTATAGTACACATCCTTCGGAGACTTTGGCTCAAGTGATACCCGCGTGTGGATTACCAGGGGTAACTTTCGCGTGCACAGCAAATTAATTATCGTCCCTGCGCAGCACAGCATTATACACTGAACTTCAAAAACTGTTGGCCCTGATATTTCATGACGTCACTTGGCAACTGCATTTCCGCTAAACACGAACCAGCAGACCGTTAATCCGTGTTGCAAAAACTAGCCTTGAATTTCCTGCATGACAGTCATTTGAACCATCTTGCCATGGATTATCAGATTGGCTATCTCAATGTCTAATACTGAGGTACATATACAGCCACAACAAATATTGGAAAACAAAGAATACAAATACTTGGGGGTCGAAGATTTATTCCGTTATATACACAGGGTGTTGTATTAACCATGATCTCATCAATTATTGGTGCTCGATTATGCTTTTGTCAAATAATTGTTTTATAATTAAGATAGGCCTTTAATACAGGCCGTACTTCGGAGCTATACAAAACGTGTAGTGCGACGGCGTTGATAGAAATTACGCCCGTCACCCGTTGGGGGCGTGCAACAGCACCTACGAGTGTAAATAGGTATGTGGAGGAAGTTCCAAGATTGCAGTCCGGAATATGTAGGTATAAAACGAAACGAAACTGATCCATTTGGGTCCAGAGCTATTAGCTCTGGACCCAAATGGATCAGTTTCGTTTCGTTTTCGCCGCTTCCTTCTGTGTTGTAGCCGGCCAGGGATACGGAGAATTTGCTAGATCAAAGGGGAGCGTTTCGGAGCAGGGAGACCGCAACAGATTGAACCGTGAAACCTAAGACTGCCAAATAACACTTTAGCAGATCGAACGATATTCTCTTTAGCGAGCACTGGGGATTGTCGGGGAGAGAAAACCCGCTTTGCTAGGAAGCAGGATACGGACAGAAAACCGCTGGCGGGAACAAGAATAGTATGCAGCGAGGATAACAAGAATAATTTCAGCTTTGCTCTTGCGAAAGAGAATAAGGAAATATAACAGAAATTGGAAATAATGAGGTAAAGGCCGGTTACATAAGGTGACATGGTCGAGCGTGTAATAGATATAACATGCATTAAGCACTACTTGTTAAGCTCTTTTCCAGTGGTGTAGCAACTATCGTAGCAAATGTACTCTAAGAAAATATTGAATACATTATTTCCCGGTGATGTTCAAACACCGTGATTTTCAAGTCTGCGGTGACCATATAGAGACAGGCTGTCTGCAGCCTGCTTATTTCTGTTTGCTCTTGCAAGTTGCTGTTCTTCGCAGGCGCCCGGGGTATCGGACCTCTCAAATTGTCTCCAAGATTAGGTTTCCCCCTTGGGGCATACATGTATATCGTGTATAAAAATTTAAAGCTATAATATACATCCTTAAGAAAGAATACTTCATCTTATGCAGTCTTAGATCACTATTCATTCTCATATTGTGGCAAGTCATTTCCGTCAGATATATTTGAGCCTCGTGTTTTTATGCAAAGCACGACGTGCACAATTTTCGGTATCCTCCGTTTTTCTGTCTTGGCTGTCTTGTTTCATTCCTCTGGTCTCTCTCAGTCTTCGGTTCTCGGTTCTTCGATCTTGGGCATCTGGTCTTTGTCTCGTTCTAGATTTTTAAGTCTCGATTTTCTGGTGTCGGCCTCCGGCTTTTCCGATCACAGTTTTCTGATGGCTCCCCTTTTGTCTGTCTTCCGGTGTGGGTCTCAGTTTTTTGGGCTTGGTTCCGCGTCTTAGTCTCATCCTCCCCAGTGCTCTCGGTAATCAGATCTTGTCTGGCTTTGGTTCTGTGGTTATACTCTCGGTATCGGTCTTTGTGATCGACTACGACACTTAGAACTGCTGTTCCCAATTGCATTTCGAACAGTTGTCGTACATGATGAGTACCCTCAAAACTCGAGCATCTACATAAGTGTTACCACATAGATCATTAAGTCATGCATGGTTCAAATTTCTGTCAATTGAAATTACGTAAGAGCACTTAATTCATGCCATATGACTCTCTTTGCCAACCACCTTTTACCCTACAACTTGCCCTTTTTAAATAAAATATGTAGGCATACAGCCAGACAGTCTATCCAAACATCACAGAATGATCTGATGCTAGCATCAGATCATTAGGACACCCAGCCATCTGGACATGATGACATCAAGACATTTTCCTGAACAAGTGCATCGTAAGTCCGTCAAGTTAACTCAGTGGTTTGTATGTTCTCTTCTTTAGAGGATGAAAGCAGTCGTGACTCAGTCTGGTGTCCAATTTTATCTCTTTACTGCAGGGAGAAAAGACAAGGCCAGAGGCGACGCCGAGCTCCCAGAAATGGCATTAATTTTAACCCTCAGGGCCAAACATGTCAGAATTGCCATGCCTTGAGATCGCATCCTGTTATCAGTGGATGCACAGAGCCGATGCTCTGTACTGTACTGTCATCCACTACTAAAGCTGCATCACATGTGCCAGAGGACAACCAAAGAGAGAGCAAATGCTCCGCCTAATTTTTCAACCGTTGATTACAAGACGTCCCTACAGAGGCATGTTGTCATCAGCAGCTCCCCCATGGATGTGGGGGAGCTCCCCCGTGGATGTGGGGGAGCTCCCCCATAAAAAGCATAAAACCTTTGGCTGTCTCCACTGATTCGAGCCAACGGACAGGAAATGGAAAGACGCCTGACATGTCGCCATACAATAATCATATTGTTATAATCTGATTTGTTTTGCCGTTTGGGCACTCAATCTAAACCAAGTAGATTGCAAAGCGCATGCAGGCTGAATAATAGTGTCAAAGTCAGTTTAGCATATTTTTAACGATTTGAAATCCATGCTCTTTAAATTCACTTGAAAAATTAGACAACATCCATGGTCAATTCGCTTATTACTGTAGTGAGTTACGGGGTTGGTAATTCGTTTTGGGATGGTTTCGAAATCGAGGGAAAACATAATTAAGTGGAAGAAGTATCAGACGATCATTTGATATTATACCAACAACTAAAAATCCACGATTTACTGTTCACTACCAGAGAGGCTCAAATCTGAAATTAATTTGCGTCTAAATGAATTTTTAAGGAAAGTACAATTAACAATTGTTGCCGGCTGAGTGAGCTGAGTGTGCATGCATAGTAGTCCATGGTGTTTTGAACACCCAAAAGGGCAGATGGCACTCGAGACGAAGACGAGGGTGCCATCTGTCCCTGAGGGTGAACCCCATGGACCCCGTCAAAGCAAACAGTTGTTTTATTATACCATGGTCATAGATGCATACTTTATTGCAAGACAATCCTAAATTAAAACACTTTGACAAATTGAAACAGTAGAACAGCAAATTAAGTATCAAATCACATGGAAAATTAAAAAATGGACGTGTTGACTTTGTTGACTTTTTGGGGGGGCCTTTGCTATTTGATTTTGAGTAAATCCGGTACACTGAGTCAATAAATTTACGTGAACATAATAATTTGAATTCTCCATACTACAGACACTGTTGCTATACCTCTTGATTTGGGGCAAGCTTTTGCTTATAGAAACGCCTTGCACCAATACACTGTTTTCAGTGGATAGGCAGGGCACAAGGAACCAGTCCATTCCAAAGATGGCGGTCGCTAGTATGCAAAAGCTTGCACCCCAATCACGAGATATAGCAACAGTACCTTAGTTTTGGGAATTCAACTTGCTATGTTTGTGTGAAGTCAGATAAACCCAGTGTAGGGGTCCTACCAGATTTTATTCAAATTTAACTGGTACAAGGCTTTATACAACGCAATGCCCACCCATGACACAACAACTGGTGGAAAGATGAAGGTTAAGCCTATCCATCATTTTTGTAGCACGGCACAATCGCAAATAGAGGGATTTCACATTATCGCCGTCTGCGCATATCTGCATCAAAACCCAGGCTCTCTGTGTTGAACTTGGTCGCGCTTGCCCGCGGAGTCCACACAGTACATGGAGTATCCGGTTTGTAAGTGTGACGCCGCTTCCGTTAAAACCATGCCACTGCGCAAGATACACGCAGGTACGTTAGTTTGCGATCAATTGTCGTTATTTTTTCTTTTGATTTTACGTGTCGAGTCATCCTGAAAGACTCTTCCACAAAAATTTGAATTTTTTTAATTTAACATACCTTTATGTATTTCGTGTCTTGACTTCTTACTTTCAATCTTCTGATCGTATTAAAAATTGAAGCTGACACATACAGCTTCGTTTTCAAACGCAAAGTGCGCAGATCGACGCTAAAAGCGTCGTTTTGGGATCCCTCTATGCATTTGATTGTGAATGCTATATAATTGTGGTTCTGGCAAGTCACATGATCAATTCGCAACCAATAAAAATTTACCATCTATGACCGTGGTTTAATAACAGTCACAAGTGGAACATTTGCTTTCGATATTGAAAGCTTTGTTGGTGAACCTTGATTAATTTGGAAATAGATAAGCCGTCTGTTAATCAGGATAGGCTATGGCACACATAAATTCTAAATGACAGTGCCACGTTGTACGTAATTACACAGAACTCACGCACAGCCACGTGCATGCACGATGTACGTAAATACACAATACATGAACTAGTACTGCAATATCCATTTTGTGCTGCCTTGACACACACGACACAAGATGTGGCCAAAATCACACCAATTATTCACGCTTTCCCGGAGACCAACTCACGTAAAACAGCACCTACAGCGGCAGCGGTAACTGGTGCAAACCCTGGGATATATGAATTCGAAGACTAATTTTCCATAATTGCTAAAATGCAAGCAAAACGTTGACTCACCTGAAGGACTGGTCCTCAGCCGACCCAGGCATGTGTGATTCTAAGGTCGCCGTATAACAACATGACTTTAATATCCATCCGCTGAATCTTTGCACAAGCCATGTCTTTGACTTTTATTGCCAAACAAATCTCTTTTAAACATTGCCTTCCAAACCGTAGTCTATGATATTTGGGTGTAAAATAGGGAGCAATTTTTAAAATAAATGCCCTGAAATCGACGTGCGGTCGCCCTGCTTGGTGGTATGTCAGAAAGTGTCCGGTGCTAAAACAGTGTTTGCTGAGCATGCGCAGTAGACAATGGGACTATTTTCCATCAAGCACTTCGTGGTGATAACTTGAACAAGCTAGTGACTTTTAATCAACTGACGTCTTATTTGGCAAGACTTCTGAGATCATGGTGTAGTAGTGAGTGGCACGATTTCGCCCCATAGTATATCTACATAGTTACTTGGCGCTGTATCTGCTGCTCATTGACTAAGATAATTAACTTGGCACGCTCAACGGTTTATTGGTAAAAGGTGTTGTTTTGAGTCGAACCACAGTAAATTTGTTGATGTTTCACAAGTCCTATAGGAAAACACTGAATACACAGTGGTGAAAAAAGTGACAAACCTGTCAATATAAATCAAAATTAACATCCCAACAAAAAATAAACAAAATCTTATAAATATAATTGCATATACTTTGTCATTCATCTTTTCTGTGTGTACGTATCGAGGCTCAAGTGCTTTTAACACCGAGGAAGCGATTAACAGAATCACGTGGACTCATTTTACGATCTGGTATCGAGTACAGTAGAGACGAGTATGCAAATCATCACTGAGTTTGACTTTCTTCATTAAGGACTTTCCCCATGATTAGCCAAAACAAAATAAACCCGTTTGCTATAATTTTCCACGGATGTTATGAAGCACCATTAGCAATGGCTTCTTCGTAAGACGGCGGAGGGGGATCATTTGCTGCTATCGGTGTCTCAGCCGGCGGGGCAGCGACGTCGGGCTCCACGGTCGGGTGTCTGGACGTCCCTGTTAGGCGATATCCCTGGGGTGTGTCCTTGGGAAGACAGGTGATGGTTAGTGCGGGTGGGGACGTGCCAGTAGCCTCGGTGTACGGCGGCGGGTCGTAGACGAAAACACAGTTTAATCGCCCGCTGAGGAAGGTAGGAATGATACACGGAAAGAGAAAGAAATTGGCAAGTGATGTGATTCAGTGATCCAACATTTTGAGCAACTCACCCGAACAGGAAGTGTGTAGATATGGCACTGTTCGGCCTACTCAAAAAACCATGATGAGAATCAATGCGAGGTCAGGGATAGGGAAGCGCCCAAAGGGTTTGCCCTGCAGCGTTTCTCCACGCATAGTAAACAATGACGTCAAACATTATGGACAAACAGTTTCGGATGCAGATCTCGTATTACAGGACACAGCGCATGCGCGCACTGGTCCGCGGGGAAGGCTACACAACTGATTTTCCACATTACACGATGCCTGCAGTAATACCATGCAGCCTTATTCCAAGCTGGCCAGAGGGATTTTGTGTTTAGTTTAATAGAGTATATGAATTTTTTATTACTATTGACCTTAATCACTAAAATTACCCATTGATTTCCTCGGGCACAGCTGTCGACGAGACTCCAACCTCACGCTCTGCCCGTGCACTCCTCGTTCTCCGTGCCTTCCGCGCCCGCCAAATATTTGGAATGCGGGAAGCGATGGTTACGAGGATGAAAGCCACGGTGAATGAAATGCCCGTTGAGATCGGCACGTCGGGTACAAGAATTGAGACGATGAGCAAAGCTAGAAAGACCGCGGCAATCAGGAGTAAGAAGAGCTGGGTCAACAGCCGGCGGCGGCATGAAGGGTTGGCGGTGCTGGAAGACCGGCTGTTGGGAAGACCGGTGACAGGTGGGGTGGTCGGGAACCCTTGTGTAGCCTCTTGGAAAGATGGTGGTGGGCTACGCAGGGACCTGCCGCTTATGTGGGCGCTAAGAAACCAAGCAATAAAAGCAGACAGCAAGTGAATTCACGTTTCCAGTGACAGTTAAGTGTAATTGCCGCATGCATCAGCCTTTCCATAAATTGCAACGAACCAAGTAAATTTTCATAACCCGCATTTGTACAATTATTATTATCTTTACAAAACGGTCAAAGATTGCTGATTGGTTGAAAATCATTCATCTCCCAGAATCGTTACATGCACGTCTATACAACTTATACGAATTAAACAGTATACAGCCATTGAAATTTCAAGTGACAATCCATAGGTCTAACAATCATTGTCTTATTATGAAATAAACAGTTGCTTTCTTTCGTGGTACATGAGAAAGAATCACATTGAAAATGATCACCGGTATGTGATGCAATACTGGAACATCACTTTTTTACCTGTTGATTTCTCGATGGCCAGCAGACGCATTCGGTTGGGCTCTGACCGAGGCCTCTGCATTTCTGGTTCTCCGTGCCTCCCACGCCTGCTTCAGCTTGGAGACCTGGTAGGCGACGGCTATGGAGACAACCACCACGGAGATTGAAGCGCCGACTTCGATAGGCGCCGCCAGCTGCAAACACTGCAGGGCCACTAGGGCTCCTAAGACGACGAGGAGCGCGACCAACTTGAGTATTTGGAACCAGCCAGACGGCGCCCGGCAGCACCCGTTACTGCTTTCACGGAGGCTTTGACTAGCACCGTTGACGGACCGGGCAGTCGGAAGATGGGCCCCCCAAGTGGTACTAGTCCTCGCGCGGTTTGTCATTGTAAAAAGCTGACGGTTTGTCGGCAGTAGTGTATGTTAATTTACGTGTACTACATTAAAGAGTGGATGTCACTTGTGGTAGTTTATGCCAACCCGTTTCATTTAACATTTTTCCGCATAAAATACGAGTTATGTTAGATAGAGAAAAATGACACGAAGAGCTCAACCATCATGCCATTCAAAGTAGCAATTCAAACCACTTTCTAAGTTCACATGCACAACTTTTCACTCGCGATGCTATGTTGGGTAGATCAGTCATTTCAGTGCAGTTTCGCACGAACTACGGCATCTGGAGCCTTACTCTTCTTCCTGTATAAAGCACAAAAGTCGCACATAATAATGCGGAAAAGGTTTTATACATAAACTAAACTTTTACTGGTTTTATACACGAAGTAAAACCGTTACAAAACGTACCTTATCCGCCTTGCTTAAGATGATTTCACTGAGTTGCTTCGTACTTGAATCTGCTATTAAAGCAATGTGAAATACTAACAACAATTTTCAAGCTGAACTGCTATGAAGTTACCTGTTAACAGTACATCAGAATCTTTTGCAGAAGCACAACGATTATCTTAGCAATTAGCAGCATTTTTTCTGATTCTCAGCTCTATGACATTGGGAAAAGGTTGTTACAGATTTCAGCTATGATCAGAGAGTACGTTTCCCTTAATAGAAGACACTGTATCAATATTGCGTGGCACCGAAATGATGACAAAATAGAATTTTTTCGTTGTTCTTCACGAGTGGCAAATTTCCATGGCAAGCGTGCTTTAAACCGGCTTCTGTATCTAATCTAATGCAGTAACCCTTTTCTTCATGCTGCAACTCATGTTTGGCACAGCATAGCAGAGTTGTAACTACGCCCCCCCCCTTGCAGAAGTGCATACCTCCGATACCCTACTGAAAACGTAACTGTATGGAGAATACTGGCATCAAGTACCTGTAACTGACTTGCTTGTTTTTAAAAAACAAACATACATACCAGTGCCCACAGTACATCTCTTTCAAAATCAACGACATCTAAGCATACTTTTAGCTTGAGTAAATCCAATCCAAGGGGCATTATCCACCTTGAGTACAGCCCAACAACGTATTGAGAAATTGCGAGTTACCTACTACCTAGTTCATGCCCAGTTAGCCCATGGTTTACCCATACAACCCCGGTGTGTGTTTTCTGCTTTTCGAGCGATTACACTGCAGTGTGATGATAACGTATGATTGTCCTTCGAAGGCCTGCATAACGCAATGGAGGTCGGAGGAATGATAACGCTAAATCTGATCATGGAGGTAGACTCCATGATCTGATGTGCGGTGTACATGTATATCGAACAAGATTTGGTCCTGATGTTCCTGCAGGAGACACAATAACAGAACGTAACTCACCATAACTTCAACCATGCTTCAACACAATAAATCAAGAAATAATCAGTGACGTATATTGCACCGGTAATGGATTTGCATCCTTTCGTGCTCGCGATGTCGATGGAAATTCGGTTAAGCAAGCGGAACTTACACGGACGTACAATGTACGTCTACGATGATGATTGCATTTGCAGCTCTTACGACAGTGGTGGTTGAACTTTGTGCACTGACCCGTGTGTGAGTGTTAGAGTGGTTACAAGTCCTTCGTTTGTCGTTATGCATTGAAATACCAAAACTGTTAATGTTCTCCAGCATGTTAAGCATTCGTGGACCGTAAGAGCAATGACATTAGGATGTCACCCAAAAGAGGTGGAATTTTAAAATAAGATGAAAGAAAGGCGATTTCTGGACTACATGTCTTCTCCCTTCTATTCCAGGGCGTGAAGGGTCAGCTTCACTCCCGCAGAGAGTCCATATGAAACTCAAAACTTGTAAAAGGCTACTTAGCCTAAAGCATGAAGGAAAGACACCGGGCAAAAATTTGGTTCTGAATCGACAGCTGTACCACGTGTTTGAGGAATAAAAGGTACAGCTAATGATGGAAATGCTAACAATCTTCTACAATTTTTATCTCTCTTGACTAACTCAAAGATAGAAATTTGAAGGTCAGGCCATGCCCAAATTAGTTGCCCGCAGCTTAAAATTACACACGACTCTGTGGGAAGTGGCTGACTCGGCCACAACCCATTGAGTCGTGGGTAATCGTAAGGCTCATGCAGTCAAGTAATTCGGACACAGCCTAGTTACAGTCCGTTTATGTGTTGGATCTTAGAAATAGAGTGGTTCCCAGTCTCTTTAATATTTCACAGCATTGACTGACACCACATCAACAACTGAGTAGTCGTTGCGGATTTGTCAGATCTATCACGCATGAGCGTATGGTAGGAGAGGGTAAATGACCTTCTTACCGGAGATTCGGTTACACAAGGGAGATGAGAGTATTTATATCCCTTCCACTTTAGCCAGGGGTGGGCTATAGAATTATCAACCCCCACTCAAAAAGGGAGAATAAAGAAATCCAGAAATATGCTGTTCTGACTTCAGATTCTGCAAGAATGTAACGCATATTACAGATGTATCATGAACATCGCCCTCATATAGTGTCATATGGTGTCAGCATCCCCCTACCTGCTTTAATTTCCACGGCCACGCAAGTCATCCCCAAGACATCCCCCCCGCCACCACCCCAATTTCTAGCACAAATTTACGCCACTGTCTAGGTACGTCACTGTTTCATTAACTTTCCTTTTTGGTTTCGCAACACCTCAAAGACCAAACCAAAGTTTGGAACGAATTCAAGGATGTATGGCCTAGAGGCTTTCATTACGAACGAGCAGCAGTCCTGAAAACAACGCTTCGTTCCTTCTGCTCGCACTCCATGGTTCCGATGAAGTGAGGTTGAAAAATCTCAGGGTGTATGCTACACAAAATATCTCCGGCGATCATGTCTGTCTTCTTCTTTTGGGGGGTTTTGTTGTTTTCAAAAGGGATGCAATGACAGCAATTTTAATCGTAAAAAAGGGGTGCTACATCGCAAAAAGACACGACACTGTGAATGTTAAAACATGAAAATTATATAGAATAGATGTCACTTATAGTGATAACTACGATAAGCAATATAAAGATTCTTTCAAAAGTAAACGTAAAACAAACCCTTGAATCACTGGTATAGTGCATAGACAGAACTTTTTAACGAAAACAGTGTCCACATGAAATACGAAAAACGAATGGAGTGTAGTAATGTATAAAAAAAAGTACAAGCCTAAACTGCCAAGCGTACAACAGGTCTACACCAATGCACAACTTTAAAGATGTAAAATTATTCGGCATACTGAAATATTTACAATACATGTATATAACATGGAATGAGCTACACTTTTATTTTATACAACTGTATCAATAACAGATGGGTTTTTAGTTTAATAGAAAAAGTACTCAAATGCCTCAGATGGATAACAAATATTAAGTGAAAAAAGCACAACGAAATTAACGGAATTATCTGCATGACAATGCCGGCTGCACATTTGAGAGATTATTTCCCGGCTCTTGGCCATTCAATGGTTCGCTTGACAGTCAGTGGAGGTTAAGAAAAAATTAGGCCGTTTCCGACTTACTTGGCTGTGGCTTAAGAATGGACAAAAAGCTATGATGTTGGCTGCAGTCACTGCCCATAGAGTCACGTGTAATTTCACTGAGCCGCAGTCAAGTGATTTGGACGTGACTTCGGTTGTCGGGTTCAAGATGGCGTCTGATAACAATCAATTTTGAAATTTTCCAGGGCATCCTGTCACAATCACGGCTACATATCGGCGCAAAATGGAGTATTTATTTGTTCATCTAGTATAAAATTTGAGTTAATGAAGGTGCTTAGAAACATAAAAGGCACTTAGAAACGATAGAAAGGCAGTGAGTTGTACAAGTACGTGAATAATTATTTATGCGAAATGTCATTCAGCGTAACTGTGTTGAAGCTATTGCTCATAACTGTGATTTGGGACAGGAAAGAAAGCTGCTTCCGCGATATAGTTGTGAAGTACGCGTAAATCAGTTCGAAATGAGTTCCTTTGGGTGAGAGGAGTGTTTCCTCTCTGAACACCATGCATAGTTAGCTTGCTGTTTTTCGGATCTTAAACAGTATCACCAGCTACGGCTTCTTCGTAACTAGGCGGAGGGGGCTCGTCGGTTGCAGCCGGTGCCTCAACCGTCGGGCCAGCCATGTTGGGTTCCACGGCACCGCTGACGGCTGCCTCTGTGTGTAGTCCTTGTTGCGTGAAATCAGGAAGGCCAGCTGCTGGTTCACCAGCTAGGGACGCAGCTGTAGCCTCAGTGAAAGACGGCGGAGGGTCATAGGCGTAATCGGTGTTTGGCTGACCGCTGTGGAGAAAAAAAAATTCCAAATTGTTTGAGTCCTGATTGCAAACTCTCGGTTCCCAAAGTCATATAAATGTATTCCACTGGGCCAAGGTTGGGGTACTTTTCTGAAGAAAAAATATGTGATTGGGACACTTTAAGCTATAAAAAATCTTCACATCTTACTTGTAATCTAATTAATTTCGTCATAAATCGAGTTTGCCAACTTTTTAGTGAAAACATTTCGACCAGTATATTGCAATATTCTATTTTCTCTTCGATCTTACTCATACCTTACTCCTGGACTGCGAATGCTGACATCTTCCATATTTATCGAGGGGCCTCCGTAGAAGACAGCTGAGTTATCGACAACGTTCGGCCCTCCTTCGGCAACTCTCGACCCTATGAATGCAGTGCCCGTATAAGCATTCCATGTGGTGGTGAAGCCATCCGCGGCAGCATTCCTTTGAGGCCCTTCTTCGGCTGCTGGCGGTGCCTCGACATCGGGCTCGGCACTCCGCCGAGCCTTCCTCGTCTGTATCACGTTTGAGACGAACGGTACGACAATGATGAGGACAAAAAGCACAGTGCACGTTATGCCGACCGGGAATGGAATCGACGGAACGGCAAACGCGGCAATCATCAACGTAACCAGAACACAGGTGACGACGAGCGGCGCCAGCCAGGCCGGTGCCCTGCAAACTCCTGAGCGACTTCCATCAGTCGATGATGTGGCAGTCACAGTGGTCTGGGCACCGCCACCGGTGCGCTGCCGGCGGTTTCCAAAGAGGACATGAAAACCCGTGACGGGGAAAGTCTGTCGGGCACCATGGTGTGCACCTGTTCGGCGGTGGTGATGGTGATGATGATGTCGCCGTTGGTGATGGCGGTGACGTCTGCGATGATGATGAACACGCCTAGCCCGAGCTCCACGTCGCCGAGCCCCGACTCCCATCCTTGAAAAGTCTGTCCGCTCGCTGCTTTCACAGTCCCTGCAAAAAAGTTGTATACATGTATATGAACTTCAGTAAAAACCATGCATAAAAGTTATCTTCAGCAGTCAACGGTACACGAGCAACCCGTCTCAGCGTTAATCACTTACAATCGAGCATATTTCTTAGTTAATTACAGTGTACCCATCTGAAAAGTGAAGGGACGCGTAGTATTTTCTAAAGGCCAGACTGCAAATTTTCAGCAATATGTTTTGAGAGTTTGGAGAGTTTAACCCAAAAATATTCTGTACAAACAAATTGACGCCTATGTTCTTATCACGGAGGAAGCAGGGGTGGATCTATGAATTTTTCCGGGGGGGGAAGGCCGGAGACTTAAACAAAAATTATACTTTTTTGCGAACATGCGCAAACAATGATGAAACATGACATGACGTATTGTTTACACAAGGAGTAGGCCTGAGGACATTCTTATTCTTTCGGGACCCCGAACTAACTTAATAGAAGAAATGCAGCAATCATGTCATTTCCATTTTGCATTTTGTATTGTTTATTGATTGAGGTTGTTGTTTATAAAAAGAACTTCATTGTGAACGTCTAATGTAATGGATAAATAGTTGTTTGTTTTAGTTGTTTGTAATGCTCTAAATCCAGTGTAAAACAAATTTCCGAATACGGACAGTTAACTTATCAAATCAGAAAATCAAATCTCTTAAACTATTTGGATCTCAACACAACTTCACAACTTAGCACTAAGCCTATTTTATGCTGTGCCTCTGACAATGTTATAACTGCGCGTGCGTCATTCAAAGTTGGGAGGAAGTGCTTCTGCAAAATTACGATTGTGGGCTGGGACTGAATGCCACTTTTAAGTTTACAAGCACACCCAGAGGGAGAAATATACCGGATCGTCGCTCATTCTATCAGGAGATAATTACCCGATAAAGGGAACTCAACTGAAACATCTGGGATGTTAAACGTTCCATGATCCACACACGAGGCTGCAACGATTTGCGCCACTTGAAGTACAAACGGAAGTATGTAATACAATGCCGCATTTGGGATTCCCAGTTTATGGCATGCCATGGGCAAAGCGACTGTCATTTCTTCATGATTGAACAGGTTGAATTACGCAGGTACCACATCCGCTGTCTTTCCTCCATGCTGAAGATGAGTCCGCTTTTTGTTCACTTGGGAACGACCTCTGCAAATATTCTACATATGTACAAATAGTGCCATGCTGCAATAGTCCATACCCTCCGTGCACTGTCGTGACTGTTTTCATTGTGCATATACTGTTCAGTTGGAGTCAGCGAAAAGCGCTGCCGATGATGGCTGAAGTGACCCCCGAGAGGTGGACCAGCGGCCGCAGTGCCGAGTGGCGTCCTACCACAGTCGTATTGTCGGACCATAGAGGAAGGAAACGTACTCACCTTAGTCTTTACGATGACAATGTTGAACCTGGTCGTGAGAGCAGAATTTAACAGAACACAACCTCAACGAGCCACATGACTAGTCATTAGGGCCCACAGTGCGGATCATTCCCATCCATTGTTGAACCCAATTTAGACCAAGCATACATGTACGTACATGTACATATATACCACTGAGTATACGTACAATGCATTTACACGTACGGTACATGTACACCTACACCCAGACACATCACTAGTCTATTGATCATGTACATGTACGTGTACTGTACATTGTACACGTACAGTGTGTGTAGTTGTTCTAACCTGATTTTCAATGCGTGCCCAGGGCTGTGAACACTCACTGATTCTGTCAGGAATCACGGACTCACACGCACCACGTAATGACCTTGCATCCAGCTCATCCACCATTATGTAATAGCCAAACCCCTGTCATAAAGCTGTGTTATAGGCAAACGATAGGCAAACATAACCGGTATCTATAATCTGTCGTGAATGGTGATACCCTTTTCCCCCCTCCCCCTTGGCGAATAAAGAAGATCGCATCCTCGCTTGAGGCATAGGCCATTTAGTTTTGATCAGGCAACTTTCCTCTTCTTCAACAAAATTCTGCTTTCTACTGTCTATGAAACTAAGGTCATTCAAACAAGGCACGAAGTGTTCTACCCAAGGACGACAATCGCTCTTCAATATTCAGCTTACTGATTTGCCGCAAATGAATCACCTCAGTAGACCACCAAAAATCCAGTCACTCGCCATCAAAAGAGGACGCCGCACACAGACTGCGGTCTGCTGACGACAGCGCAGCTCTCAAACATGGGCAAAATATGCACCCTACCCCCATGCACACACTCTTATACATGTACACATTTTGTGACTGGGAAATAATGAGGGATGCCCCAAGTTTTATACAGAGCAAATAAGCCGATTATCCCATCCTAGAAACCTAGCGAGCTGTCAAAATCATGTGAGAGACCAGTAGGCCTGTGACGATTTTTTTTGGGGGGGGGTAAGCATTTGGATCAATTTTCTCCACCAACGTAAATGTGTTTACAATGTAGGTCATTTTCCTTTTTTGTAAATATTAGGGAAAAGGCCGTCTCTCTTGTTGATAACCCGTGTGAGACTTTTAACATGTTTACGTTTGACATGTTTTGATTTGTCTTGTCTGCGAAAATAGGTTGTATTACGTTCTTGACAGGAAAACGTGCCATATCACATAAAACGTGCATTTAATGTTAGTGCCCATGTTTTGTCTTTTTTACTAGACAAAAGCCTTGCAAAATTGCTTGAATGGGTTTAAGTTTAAAGCAACAGCACAAATATATTCCGGCTAGTAATTATTTTCAATGTTTTGCTTTGGTGTTTTGGCAGAACTGTCCAACTTCATTTCAGATAGGAGTCTAGTAACGTATTCATCTAGTTGTTATCTGTCCAAACTCTTTAGGGGGCTGGAGTGCCATGTTGTCGAGTCCATCAATTCCTAGTCGAGCCCAAATTCCGACTCCAAGTCCTTCAATAAGCTTAAAATTCTCGTACATTAAAAACAGAAAAAGAAAAGTTTTCCAGGTTTTGGATGATTACTTACTTTTACTTTTACTCTTTTAGCCGAGCCCGAGTCAAGGCTCCTTTCCCTTGTACGTTTTTGGCTGCGTTGCGTAGGAGCCGCGATGCTTTCATGCGCCTTTCCCTTGTACATTTTTGGCTGCGTTGTGTAGGCGATGCGTTAATGCGTTTCACTTTCACGGACACAAGAACTGACCCCATTAACATAACACACATGTGCGTTGCGTTCGGCCGGCCGTCAAAATCGCTCCGGGAGTGATTTTGACGGATACGCAACGCTTGGCGCAAGCGTTGACGTACGTATGGAAAGGAGCCTTTAGGATTCACATCCAAGGCTTGGAACGCGTGGATGCGTTTCTATTTCGACTTAAACAACTGCTGACAGAGAGCTATCAAAACAACTATCAAACTCACTGATTTCGGACAAGACTGAGATCTGTCCCTACCCATTCTCCATGCTTGAACTCTGCATTTTATTTGCCATTTTTAGTAAACTTCCATTTAACAATAATACAGTTCATGTCACGGACGGGTACGCCCTCTCTGCCATGATTTGATCGTATGACGGCGGTGCGTTGTTGTCATTTACTGGTAGAAATTGAGACGAGTTCCCTTTAACGTCAATTTTTGTCAAGTCACCAAGTGCCGTAACTTTCGAAGGGACAGGCTGCAGATTGACGATAAAATGGTGCGAATTAGAAGCGGCACTTTGCGAGGACACTACTTCTGGTAAATACCACTGGCTCTTGGCTCCTCCGTGGATGATCTTTGTTACTACCTCTGCCAAGAAGGGACGGTCACTGATGGACGAACCTTTGTAGTCGCTGGACGTTCCAGCATCGGATAGGCCTACTGATCCGTCACTGCTGCATTCCTGGAGCGATTCCTCTATTCCATAGGCTGGGCTTGAGGCTTTGTCGTCGTCGCACTCCCGGTAGAACTCTTCTGCAGCCCTGTTACTGGCAGTATCCCCGATGTGATTGAGACAACTTTGATCCTCGACGGGCGGCAATCCCTTGGTCGCCCTGAGGACACGGAAACCTCGTCTTCCGACTCGGTATCCTCATAATAGTCACAACATAGACAGCCAAGGGACCTTGTCGTTACTGAGCCGTGTCCTGCACTGGAAGAGTCTGTTGTTGCGCTGGATGTCACGACCCTCCTTCGAGAAGCCCTGGCTTGCGACTTGGATTCTTGATCGCTGGATGCACTTGACGCATGGCTTCGGTCGGTGTTCACCTCGTCCCTTGCGCGGCCGAAGACGCTGTGCACCTTGGGCTGTTGTTGACTTGGCACCACGGTGGGTATGGACGGTCAATTTCCCTTCCCTTGTCTTGATAACCTTTCTCGTGGTGATGACCGTTCTGGTGGTGGTCGAGGTGCAGATCGCGTCTACCCTGCCTAGTTTACTGACTCTGACAACTGTGTCACTCCTTTCCATTGTAGCAGGAGTATAAAACTTTGTTTATTTCGCCATACCTCCTCCTGTTATGTGTGTATTATTCCTGGATAAAAAAAAAAAATAAAACCGAAAATTTCTTTCTTATTTCGCTGACTGAGTTCAGACTATACTTTTCTTTGACCACAATGATAATCAAACTAGTCTTTGTTGTGAAACAGTGAAGCTACCCACAACAGGACGTGATGCACTACACGTATCGAAACCAATTCCAGCAGGGGCGGGCGTGTATGGCATGCTGGTGTTATACAAGTGGAGTATTTGGCACTGGCGCGGCGGCGGAAGCGGGGGGGGGGTAAGTGACCCCGGCCCCCACTTTTTGCAGGTCCTATAATCGGGTGGTGCTTAATGGATCGACCTATTAATGACTTATGCCCGATGGTCTAACAACACACACACCCCCCTTTGAAAATCGTTCCGCCGCCGCTGATATGTGGTACCACTTAGGCCTATTCCCAGAACTGTGGGGTCTGTCGTGGGCACGACAGGGGACGACCATGGAGGAAGGAAGGGACGACGAACCACACATTTCTGAGGCTAGGTACCAGTATATGATTGCATTTGATTTTTTTTTTACAGCAAAAGCCCGATTAATTACCCTTTAAACTCCTTTAACTCAGATCAGTCTGATGAAAGGTATTGTAAGAATAATAAAATCATGCACATTCTTACAAGATACATTGTATATAAAGGACGCTTACCTATGAAATATCTCAGCTTCAAGGTGGGAACAAAGCTGTCTGCCATTTCCACGAGGGAATCTCCTTTGCTCATCTGTTTAGTCGGCAGGCTAGCATGATGCAAATTACGAACACTCTTGCCCTGACGTTAGTGAAAATGTTCACAAGGCTGCTTGTACCAGTGATATACTTTATGCACTATGGGCCCGTAAAAGACACTACTCTCTTTCAACGACTCATGCAAGTCTTTTTTATGTGAGCGAATGGACGGAGTGGGTAAAACATCATTGTATTGTCTCGACGGACGACGTTACGTAAGAGTTTTACGACAATAACAGTGTGCGTGTGTGATCTAAATCTATAACCATTGATTGTCATTTGAGTTTCAAGGCATGTGGAGCTAGGCGCGCTGCCGGGTTGAATTTCTTTGCCACGCTCTTATTTCCGAAAATATTCCGGAAAATCTTCAAACAGTGGTCTTGCAGGAGGAGGGGCCGGGGGGCATTGAGCGTCCGCGGTACCCAACTTCCTCCACCCACACACATTAAACATAATTACTCTCTAGAGCGAAAAGAGGGAAAAAACCCACTCTCAAAAGAGCGAGTTATACCCAGCAAGAAATGAGACTGAGGGGTACCCCCCAACATGTCCAATCCCTATACACATTCCAGACTATTGTTACTTAACACATCCCCCCCAAGATGTCTGAAAGGAATTCCCCAGATTCCTGCGAGACAATGACCAACACAAAGCAGGGGGGGGTTCTCTCCGTCTCATACCTCGCTGCATATGGAGCGAGTCTTTATAAAACCACTCAAAAAAAGATTGAAAACCAAGAGTGCAAAGGACAACTCTTCTTGGGGGTTGTCCTTTACATAGCTCCTTAGGAGAGTGGAGATTTCACTCTTTTGGAGTGGTTTTTCGATCTCTTTAGTGTAGTTTTAACTCGTTTTAGAATGGTGCTTACTCTTTTTAAAGGTGGTTTTTGAAAGGACTCACTCTTGTTTGAGAGTGAGATTTTCACCCTTTTGCATTCAGAGAATAAGTACAGATCACTTCTTTTTATCCCCTTCGCAGGCTATAATTAGATTTATGTGCTTTTAAAATTCAAAGCGGAGAGGGAAACCCTTTATTCTGTGCCCGGGGTTTGTCCCATAACATTAATTTTGCTATACAAAACACTCTTAACGCGATCGCACAACTGATGTTTACTGCCCCAAAACATTCCCTTGACCCCCCATCCTCATTCTACTTCAAATTGACGTCTCAAACATCTCCAAACGGTTCAAACCATGATAAATTTCCCACAGTGTTACCGATGACGGTTGTTATCAGAATCGACATCATCAGAGTAAACTGCAGGAGCAGAATATTTCCATTTAGTTTCAATAGCATTTTAAAGGATGAAAACACCGAGCACATGTTTGTCAGTCCAAACTTTCAATTCATTTTCGGAAAGTTAGTTTAAAAAACTCAAATTCTCCTCCCATTATGAAGATTTCTCTGAAAATCAGGTTCCATACAGTTAGTAAAACCTACCTCTTCCCGCCCCCTTTCCTGCTTTTCTAGACTTTTTCTTACCCTGTTTATCCTACCAAAGTTCCACAGTCTCCCCCAAGTAGGAAAGCATGGGGGGTCATAAAAGACGCGAGAATCAGGAAAGAACGCTTGGTGCCGGGTTCAGGTTAGTATCGAACTCTTTGTGGAATTGTGCTCAAAGAGTAGTATCGATCAATCATGCATGTACTTTCCACAGCTTACAATCTCAAATCAGACAGGAACAACCATCAGTGCAAAAACAATAAGTTTCAATTATTTCTTGTCGTATTCTGTGTCAAATTAGGTGAAATTTTTTTTTAACAACTTCGGAAAGTCCCATAATCCTCAGCAATGATACGTCTATTTCCGAATAGTGGTAGTCGATACTAAGTGATACCGACTCGACTACCCGTACCCACAATTCCTTTGTGTGTTCCCGCGGTAAAGTCATGAAAGTGTGCCTGTGGTCCGTCGTACGATTTTTGGGTCAAATGCACGGAATTTAAATAGACAGGTGCGAGTGGATGAATAAAATGGCTCCACACAGACACCCCCATACCAGATCTGTCCAGCGGAACCCAAAATTCGAGCAACTCCAGGCCGATCATGAACTATTTCTTCAGGCCTTCGAGAGTAAGTACTTGACGCACAGACCTTGTCTTGGCCCACACGAATCGTGTGGTAATGTACATGTACTGTAGGGCCTTCGTGTAATAATATACTGTATAGTAGGCCTACATGCTGTACTGCGCGTGAACAGGCGCTGAGTGGGTGGCCTCTCAGCTTTTTTTCTGAAATGATATTTCGAAAGGTCATCTTTTGAAAAAAAAAACATTTGATTAAATGTCATCCAGGGAAAACTGGTTCACCTTAATACCGTCGATGGGCCAGGCTATAGCTAGCCTACATGTGTTTTACTCACAAGCATGACGAGTTAGATCACCACTGATATTCAATAGGCCTAAATCAGAATCATGACTAGACCCTATTTGTCAGCCCAATAATATTATGAATGTTACGTCAGAGAAACTGCAGTATCGAGTGTTTCAGGGCTTCAGTTCACACCACGGAAACACTCTTATGTGCTCATGTTGTCGTGGTTGTCATACATCTGCAAAGTAGTGTCAACTAGCTAGCTCAAGATCATGCATGTCATGTAGACTTGCTGGATTTAAGATCAACTTTTTAAAGATAAAATGAGAAAGAAGGAAGCTATTAACTTCTGAATCATATAGCACTGGTCATGGTGGTAGAAAAAGACACATCTTAGTAAGAGTTCCGTATACAGGCAACACTTATTTTCCCTTAAAATGTTATAACAGTCATCAGAAAGTTATAACGTACTTAAAAACACTTAGGTCTTTTCAGACAAGTCTCATAGGTTTATGCACAGGGGTATGTTGTCCGAACATGAAACTCTTTCCCATATGTTCAACTTAGGTCCTGCATTTACATCCTTATTAAAATGTTAGAGAAATTTATTAACTTTGTCATTTTTCTTTTTACTGTCTTTCAGAACCAACTCAAATTTATCGATTTCTCCGAACAAGAAATCAAATTGCAGTAAGTATTATATGAGGCTCTACGTTATGGTACATTTTCCCTCTCTTTTGAAAAAGGATACCCTAAAGTCAGAAAAAACACCAAAAAAAAGGAATTCTGGTTAGTTGTTGAACTTGTTTGATTTTATATATTTTGGCTACTTAAGTTTTTGTTGTTGTTTCCCGACATTTTGTTCAGAGTCTTGAATGCCACATAATATTCTGAAGTGTCTTGGCTGTTTTGTATTGAGAGTGAACAAAGTAATTTTCACATTTCAAAATAAATGATATTATTGGAAGGGGCTAAGCCTTTCTATATATATGCCTTCCCTTTTCATGAATTTTAAAAGAAATTCGAAACCAAAACAAAACATTAGGAGACACAAACAGGTCGAATTCATTGTGGCTTGTCACATTGCTTTTATTCCCGCTAATAAATATTGCCCTTTGAATAAACTTCATTTTTGCATAAATTTGCAGCCAATCTTCCTTCATCGGACATTAAGTTACATGCCCCAGAGATGCCTAAGGACCAGCAGAAGGTAAACTAATATACAATAATGAATATTTATGAGTGCGATGGTAAGAATAGTTGCATGAGGTGACAGATGCGGCGGTCTATTTCCTCGGCTTTGCCTCATGGAATAGATCGTTTCATCTGTCTCCGGATGCAGTTATTCTGATCATTGCACGAATGGGAAACATTCATTGTTTGTTTTATATAACAAATCCTTGTCATCTGATTTTCTGAGTGCAACTGGATTAATTAACTGATTCAAACTGGAAGTTTTCCAGTTGTGAATCTGTTAATTTTCCGATATTATTAATGATTACTTCTGACTTGTTTAATTGTCTTGCAGCATTTTATCTGTTTCCTTATGTTGGCAGCATCAGTTTTACAAGCAAAAACAAGTTCTTATAACTATTCAGTAGAATTGTGAACGGCGGAGCTTGATCGCTCGTCATTTTGCTTTGAAGAAACTTGTGCCACTAGAAGCTGCAGTGCAATCGATCTGAGGGTGTTCATTATTCATTCCTAATGCCCATTGATCTTTTTGCACTCTGTGTGCACGCTGTGAATGTGCTGTGTGTTGGTACAAATAATTCAATGTCATGTAATCAATTATCCACCAATCAGATGACAGGGATTTATGTAGGTGTTGTATAAAACATTCTGTGCAGAAGTACACGTGCTGTAACAATGCCACTGAATCGACCATCGAGTGCTCAACAAACCACAAATTCCACTCATGATAGAAACACTCATTGGATCCCTGTTTTTATAGATCACTGGACATGAACTCAGTCCTAACAGTTATCCACATGAAATAGCTGACACCTGAAGGAAAATGCAAAGCACTGCTCCTTCTTTTTACTGCTGAAAAACTTTTATGAACTCAAAACTGAGCCGATGCTTCAAATATAAATAATAGTGTGAAGTGAGAAAGAATCTTGGCAGTTACATGCAAAAGAACAGAATCTTATCATATTTAATATTACTTTCAAGTGCACATGGTTACTTTTGAAAGTGCCTCAGGAAAATTATGTCATTGTTTGATCTACTGTTCAATTTTTTGCAGATCATCCATGGAAATTAGAGTTTAGTGTATACTGGTATTTCCACGGAAAATTGAATTTAAATGCTTTGCAAAAAGATGAAAGAATAAAACAGATGATGTGTGGTTTGTGTGCATTTACCTTCTCCTAAATGATGTTTCCTCAACTTGACATTGCTTGTATTTTCTGGGTTTTCTCCCTCTCCCCCAGGAAATCATTCAAATCGGATAATTTACTTGAGAAGGAAGAAGCCAAGCTGAAACGAGCTGCATCCGCAGAGAGGTAAGAGAAGACAGTTCAGAGACTTCCAAAGTTTTATAGACTTGACAAGTGTGAGAGTAACTCGGGCATAGTATTACATCTAGCAGTTCTCAGTCTTCCAAAAGGCTTAACTTGGTCCGATCCTGAATCCCAAGGTTTTTGAGGGACCTATCTTGGCCCTCAAACTTATTTTTCCACCGCTTGTGTTCTTGATTTATGTATTCATAATTTGTTACAGTAATCTATTCAAGTAATCAAAAGCCACTTTGTAAAAACAGTGCTCAACAGGGCTGAGATTTGTCAAGAGTTTTCATTCCTGATCTTTTCATCAGCATTGTCCTGATTTTAAGGATTTTTCAAACAATCTGTTTTAAAATCTGGAAAATCCTGTGTTTAACCCTCCTCAATGCGCCAAAATCTTTCAGGGGGTTTTGGAAGATTGAGGGTGAATGGCAAAAGTGCATAGCTGATTGCAAAGGATGCCATGCATGAAGGTCCCTGGTGAGACATCGTGTTGTTTTTGCTTAGTCATGCATACATTCAGCATAATATTTCTTTTGAATCAACCGCACTGCTCAAGAATGCCATTTGCACTGCCTCAACATAATGACAGGAGTTGCCGGAGGATTTTGAAGGATTGAGGCAATAGGCACACCTCCAAGTAACATTTCAAGAAATTTTGGAGGATTGAGGGAGAATGTCATTTTTTCACCTCCCATATTTGAGGATTCTGGAGGATTGAGGAGGGTCCCTAGCAAAAAGGGCCTAAGGGGTTAGTGTTAAGGTGTTTTTATATATAAAAGTTGATATTGAGCACAAAGTGGGTATTTTAAGGGGTGCTGATACATGTAGGCAAACAGAAGTTTATCTATACCATAGACTATATACTACTATGGGGCCCTCAAACCTCTGCTGGTTATTTCGTGGATTTGGCATTTTCCTGCAATCTCATCACTGATCTGGACATGTCAAGCATGCTCAAAGCAAAAAAAAACCAGGTTGAGCGCTGGACAAGACCTACTTGTCTGCTACTTGTGTGTGTACATTTTTGCATTTACTTTTCATTTAAACATAATTTCCAAAGTTCCACAAAGCTTGAAGATGCTACCCATTGAATAAGCTGTTTCCCCCAAAACAGTCTCATGATTCATCTCGAAAGACCTGTTAGGCCACCCATGTTTACGTTACCTACCTTGTGTGGACTTTCCATTGCTTTTGTGCAGTTAAAAAAGCACAGGCAGAATTTTCCTATTTCTCCTTCTACATTGGTTGTTTTGAACTGGATGTTTGATGCTGATTTCTTGAACTGTTCCTCTTCATTTTACTGCAGATCCCCCTAACCCAAAACTGCCTCTTCAGAGGTTTTTCTTATAAGGGAAAACACTGTATGGACCTGTGTAAGTCCACACAGTGTCTGCTTACCCCACATGATGTAGACTTCTTTTGTGCAGAAGTCCACTCTGTGTATGTAACATTTAGACACTGAATCTAGCAATTGAATTGTAAAAGTGAACTGCTCAAGAGTGAAGAAGAGAAATCCCTTTCAGTTGGCAACTGCAACACAGACTCAGATTAAAATTGTACTTTGTAAAATTCCAAAACGGATTTATTTACTTTGAAAATTCACAGGATTACAAAGTTGTTCATGTGGTCAATCACTGGCTTTTGATTTTTCAGAACACAAGGAGAGTATATGAATATATTTTTCAATGAATTCCACCAAACAAGAGGTAGGTGTCGCCAAAGAATCCTCTGATTGCGTCAACAATTTTGAAATTTCAAATGATCTAAACGTTTTATCTGTTCCCCTGAGATTCAGCTTCACAAGGTTTTACTGTATTGTGCATTTGCAATCTAAGTCGGTGGTACATTGTGCTGCTTTCTTAAATCGACAGAAGAGAAAAAAGATTGGAAGTTATTTATACCACCTCAGAAGTTTTTTCTGGAATGCCACATCATACAAACTGAAAAGTTCCATCTTTAGTGCTGCAGATAATCATTTTTATTCCATAATATTATGGTTAATTTTTAGAACAGCAATGCATTAAAGAAAGCCAGGTTACCATAACAAGCATAGATTCCTGTGACCTTTGGTTCCTCGTTTAAGGAGCCAATAAAACACATGCTTAGCCTTTCTCGCAGTAACTCAGCTTCGTAATTCCACTTGTTGTCAAGTCCATCACAAGTCCCTGCGAGCCCATCACTAAACTTCCAGCCTTCAGCCAGGTTGCAGATTATTCAAATGAACTGGGACAAAGGCATCCCTTTGTCTCTGTTTTGGCCATTCACTTGTGGCTGGTCTTGTGAAAAGACTTGTGACTGGATCTATGAAAGGACGTGTGATGGGCTTGAATTCAGCACTGATTCCAGACTTAACTTTTTTCACCCGTTCTTGAATTGATCTCAGAGTTGACTAGTGAGAGCTTTGTATCTGTGGAGGCTGTCCTACTCAAAGTTTGCCACAAAAGAAGAAAGGTAAGTCACCAATTCGTACTTCTGTCCTCGTTTGAATACAGTCATGAACTAGCTTCATTCTGTTGTTTTGTCTGTCATAAGTTCAGGTTCTAAATGACAGCTTTCATTGAACTCAAACTGTCTAGACATTTTGACTGGGAGCATACCGACCTTCCCAAATCCTACTCTGTGGGAAAAGCTAATAACGCATGGTGTGGATTCCAATCTTCAAGGGACACTGAGTGCTGTGTAAAGAGCTAGTGGCTGGGCCATATCTTTGTTAAGTCCCTGCAAAGATTCTCCAAATGTTTTGCTTGAGATCTCTCATTTCTCACAAAATATCTCTGTCATTTCTGCATTGAATACTTTTTTCAAAAGCTCAGTTGAGCTCACCATTAGCTGATTCTGTTCTTTTGTGAATTTTTTTTTAAAGGATGTATCATCACCAGTCAAGCAAGTCTCTCTTGGCAGGCAAAAGGTTCCTGTCAACGGCATTTCCACGGCGACGGCCCATGACCAAACCCCGTGCCTGTCGGTCCCCAGCAGTACTTTCAGCCCTTCCAATGGCCAGACGGTCAAGTCCTTCATATTGCTGCTGAGGGTGCAAGGTGAAAGGTCGCTTGGCCGGGACTACTCCAGCAGTGATAATCTATGCAACGGAGATGTGAGCGAGGATCAGGGTAGGTAGGCCTTTTTGTAGAGCTCTACTGTTTCAAAATAATGAAATGTCCAAAATAATGTCCAAAATAAAGAAAATACCGAACTGGCTCATTTATGTAGTCCAAAAATTTGGGACTCTCAATAGATGGGTCCCAGTGAGGGTGGATGTCGGATGTTCGCTGGTATCGACTGCCAAAATTGGTCTCGTGGTCTGTTAATAGGGGTAACAATGGATTTCACTTCACCTTGAGCAGAAGTAATGCTTGTTTTGTGTTATTTTCAAAAACATGTTATTATTATTATTGAAGGAATGAAATGTTGAAAATGTGATGGAATGGTTTTAATAAGTATGTTTAACCATTTCCTGCTGGGTGCTTTTAAAAATGCAGTGCCTACATTTTTCAATATTTTTTTTCAATATCTTCAGTTTTCAAAATCTTCAAAAATTCTTATCTTTTTTTCCTGAATGCCTAAACCTCATTGAGTGACTGTCTGGTGGCTATTCTAATCTGACAGACAACATCTATTGATGCCAGAGTATTTCAGCCAGGCCTGCCGCCTTGTAAAAAGAGCGCAAATTGTGTGGTGTTACATAAGTTTCTTTTGTTCCCGAAACTGGCACAGTACGCTGCTGGCATCTTTTCAATAGGGGCCAAATTAACATGCAGTGTGATTGTATCGCTCATCACTGGAGTGCAGGAGCACTTTTGTCTCTGGGGTAATCTGCTGGCGCTGAATGCCACAAACAGTGGTATAATCTTTCAAAACAATGACGGATTTCCTCCGCTATTGACAACTGAAAGATATTGGCAATACCCAGCAGCTCTGTCTTTTGTTCCGAGTATGGTCTTTTGTTACAAAGCCCTCAGCTCTTTTGTCCGATTTCGGGCATCGCGGCTGTGCGTACATACCCAAGGTACCCGAAACCGGGCTCCCCGGCAGGATGTGGTTAAAACCATCCAGGAGCCAGGGGTGATAATGGACTGAGCCCCAGCCAGCTGTAAGCATACTGGTTTGAAACCAAACCACACTTTTCTTCCCATTCATACCTTTTTCTGGCAAAAAATTAAAAACTCAGCAAATAATTCATATTTTTCCAAGTGTTTGTTAATCACCCTTTAATATCCCGTGTTTTGTGGAACACCCCTCTTGCTACATTTGTCGTGTGTGCCATACAAAATCTCCGACAGAGAAATTGGCACGTGCTTTGCCATACGTTGCAGGAGGCATCTGAGCCAATGTAGTATGAAATTCTTAATCTGTGAATCTCGGGCTCATTGGGGATATTGCACATGCCTATGTGACAATGATGATAATCATGTATGAGGGTTACAGTCCATAAAGAAAGTCAAAAATTTTCATTTGAAATTGGGAATGTGTTCAGTAACCGACAGCGCTTCTACCATCTGTTAAAAACCACCCACATGATGGGCTCTTGACCAGTAGGACAGGGTCAGCTGCACTGAGAATTCAAATGCAAACTATTCTCACCCACCCAAAATCAGTCAGAAGACGCCCAAACCACCGTTGAGTTGAAGGCCTTGAAAAGAGTCTTGCATGACGCAAATCATCTGAAACCCATGCTTTTTTTCACTCACCTAGTGTCCATTTTCATCAGGATGACAGGCTGAGTGTTGTATCAAAAGAAAGAGCTCCGTTTGCTCATTCAGATCCACATTAAAATAAAGTTACTGGAAAATGAGCCGTAAGACTCATTGTGTTGGACCCGGTCACATTAACTGTTAGTCCATTGTCACCATTTCATTTTCCAGACGAGCAGCCGACAAAACGGCGACGGCTGATTCGCCGAGACCACGCACCTGGCCACACGGACACGTTCACCTACACCTCTGAGCTGGTGGTGTTGGACAGGGAGAACTGCCTACTGACCAATGGAGACTATGAGGTCGCCATGCAAGAGGTCAGGCCCAAGGTCACCACCAACGGCAGGCATGCATCGTGGGAAACGCTAATGGATGGAAAGGTACAACGAAATCCAACTTTTGGCCAAAAAATTCTCACGGAGAGAATGTTTTATTTTTCTGGCAGTATTTCTGCATTGTGTTACATTTGGTTTGTATCATAAACAACGTGTGAACACGTTTTTGCAAAATACTAATAAATGGGGAAATCACGTATGATCATTCTTTCAGTTGATGCCATTGGACATTTGCAGCAATCGTTGAAAGGTTGCTATTCCTATTTTGCTTTTGTAAACAAGAAAGATTTGCCCATCAAGTTCCTGATCCGAAGAAAAAATTAGCCACAGTTAGGAGCAGTTGCAGTGACTCATTTATCAGTTTTAGTTAGGCCAAACAAAAAATTAGTTGTGTCTCCTATTACACTGAAAAATAATTAGAGTGGTTGGTTGGGTAAAATATTTTTTTTTACTCTAAATTTTTATAGCCGAAAAATGTAGGGTTGGATGATGATCCATATTTTTTAGGGGGAGGGGGGCGTAAATTTGTAACGGGTACTAAGTCAGTGTTAGATTAATACATGTACTGTACATGTGCACATCAATATTACATATCAGCACTGTGATTGAGTAGTAAAGCAGCTGGTTGTTGAAATACAAAACACAAGAGCCGTCCATCTCATTAAAAAAAAATTAAAATATTACAATGTACAGGATGATGTACACAAAATTAGGCTCGGGGCAAGGCACCATAAGTTTTTATGTTTCATTGATTTGTCGAATAAAAAGATATAAGTTCCACGTAATATTCTAGGTTGGGTCGGGTAACCGGAAATACAGCTATCTTTTGTTTGGCCGTATGTGTTTTAGCTCCTAAAGTTGATGACAAAATGATGAAGTGTCATAATAATTGGATGTTCTTGTCTCTTTTGTTTGCTGTTACAGCCTGTAGTCCCCTTTGAGTCTTTCCAAGACCAGCCCACCTTGAAGTTCCACCTCAAGTGGAGTGAGACCGCGCTGCGCTCTTCCATGCACCTTCAGCCGTCGTCCAGTCACCACAAGGCCACCTCGCTTTCAAGTTTGGGGACCTTGGCCAGTAGCTCCAACGGCCTTCCCTCCCAGCTAGCAGGCAGCAGTAACGGCATCCCACTGCGAGAAGGTGTGCATGGGGTGGTATATTAGCTCTTGCCTCTCTCCACCTAAGAACCTACATGGGCACCTGTGAGGGCAGAGAGGTTCATCCTTGGTGGATTAACATGGTATCGCCTGATATGGTTGCAACGCTGGTTGTACACACCCCGATCGGTTGAAATGGTTGTGAGGATTTCTCTGGTCCCATTGAGCAGGGTTAATACTGGGAACAGTGCATCGAAAGTCCATCAGGAACAGAAGTGCATTACATAAATCTATACATAGTTTTTATTATTCTTGGGTTTTATGCTGGGTTCCAGTCACTGTGTTTCTCATAGTTAGGAGTTGAGGTCACCAGCTCGTTTTTTGTTTGTGTGCGTGTTTTTGTTTTTTAATTGTGAGTTCAATTGGTAAATTTTCTCCTGGACTTTGACATTTGTGAATGTAAGATAGAACAAGTTCCCCAAAATAAATCAAGTGAACTGGTGACTTCTGTGCCTTTCTACCTCTGAAGAGAATAAACGGCTGATAATTTCTGAGATTTTTAAAGCTAAATTGGTACATTTGTATGCCCTCTCAAGAATATGCTATGTTGAAGTCATGGTTATTAATGCTTCTTATAGAAGAATAGTATTCATAATGCTTAAACTAACCATGGAAGAAGTGTATTGACCTACGTATCCATCTTTGTCTCACCTTGCCAGATGCCAGTAGTGAATCAGGCTCTGGGGACGACTCTGCAAAAACCACCAATCATCGGTCCCCGGTTCGCATCAATGCTTCCAAGAGGGATCCCACTTCTGCCACCGCTGCAGACAGTGACGCCAACCACCCGCAGCACGTCTTCTACCAGTTCCTGTACAACAACAACACACGGCAGCAGACAGAGGCCAGGGACAACATGCTGTGCCCCTGGTGCTCCATCAACTGCCGGGAGCTGTACAGCCTGCTCAAGCATCTCACCACCTGTCACAGCCGATTCAATTTCACCTATGTGGTGAGTTCTGGGAGCTTTTTTGTTTTAATTTAAAATGATACACGGAATCCCTGTAAATCTGCTGGGTAAAACAACATCAAAACAAATATCCAAGGCTAGTGTTCAGTTGATTCAACCACTTGGTAATGGTGTTATTCCATGTCATTCTTAACCCAAGGCATGTGTTACTATTTTCTACTGAAAATACCGTTTCTTTTTTTATAAGGACAAGATACGACAACCACTGTCTTTTACAAAGTTGGACTTTACAAAGACTGACCCTTGGTGGTCATTTATTCAAGATTTGTGCAACATTCTTACCACATCGTCCCTCCAATGCTGCGCTGCAGACCAGCATTTGCTACAGTGCCTTGCCGTAGCCCATGGCCGATTGATGGGTACACACACTCTCAACCTCCACAGACTATTTCCAGCCTCAAAGTGTGTACCAACTCAATGGGAAGCACTAAAGCCTGATGAGTTAGTGTAGATATCACGCGGCACTCTACAGTGCTCCCCAGAAAGGGTTTGAACCTCCTCTGAGTTTCAACAAAGGAAATCCCTGTGTGCTTCTACTTCACCGGGCATGTAGACCAGATTCTTTCCAGTTTGAAACCATTAAAGGGAGGGTTTGAAAATTACCAAGAGATGATCATGTCAACACAACTGACATTAGTGTTGCTCCCCAACTTTATCCACTGCCCCAAATGAGTTCCTCCGCTTGGTTTCCTACAGCCTTGTCCAAATGGAGCCAGAATAGACGTGACAATAAATGAACACTACGACGGGTCGTATGCAGGAAACCCACAGAACCTTACATCTCACACAGGCTATGCATTCCATCGGAACGGTCCGTGCAGACGAAGCCCGGTCACCCAGATCCTGGTTGTCAAGTAAGTTTTAACACAAGACTTGACAGCCATTTTATCGTACTGTTTTATCGGAATAGCTTGTTAGCCTTGTCCTTAGTTATATTGTTTCCCATTACACTCTCTCATAACGTTCAGCAAACAACTTCAAAATGGAATGTGTGTTAACCTTATTCTGTCACTTTATTGGAAGAAACTTGTTGGAATTTAAAATTTTATACTTGTATTTTATTTACATTGGTCCAGTGGACATTTTGGGCTTTTGCTAGGAAAGAATACGGGCATTTCACAATAATGCACCTCCAAGAGTTTGCAATGTGTAAACCTGTACATTTCCTGACTTCTTCATAATTTCCGGTGCAGATACACTAAGCGACCCCTCGGAACTCTTGCTGAATTCCAGGAAGGAGAGAACAAAGACTACCTCATCACCAGACCACAAATCTCAGGGCATAATAGGTCAGTAAGATGTCTTGCTTACGGTTTCAGACAGAACTTGATATGAAAAAATTAGGCTGATGTCATGCTGGAGGTTCTGTAGCCTGGTATTCCAGGCAGGTTCTGACGGTCATGGAAAATCCTGGGAAAAAGTTGACCTGAAAAGCCATTGGAAATCGGGACAAAATAAGATGTCCTGGGATTCTGTTGTAAGAGGAAAAAAGTCATGGAGAAGTCATGAAAATCAAGATCCTGCAAGGGTTATTTTGAAAGACTGCTTTTGATGCAATAACAGAAAATTTGTAATTTGCAGGTTATGTTGGTCAGTTTATACTTCTGCCTTCCAGTTCATAATACCAAACAATTTTTTCTGGAAAATGGAATTAAACGTTATTGAAATTGTCATATTTTAGTCCTAGAAAATCCTGGAAATTTGATTTTGAGATGTCTGAGGGAACTTGGTTCGGTGTGTTGATCTTTGTTAATTAGAGTGAGTGAGTATATGTCATGAAGCACAGAAAACACTTGCCAAGCAGATACAGGGCACTTGCCAAAATGCCATGCATTGTACGCTTCTCATGACTGGTTTTGAGCTGGTCTTGTTAAAGCTGTATCCCTGAGCAAGACACTTTATCACAATTTACCATTTGCCACCAAGGAATAATGTGGGTTCCTGTGATTCAAGGAGAACGACATGATCTTTTATGTTTTGTGGACTCCATGAGAGGGCACTAATTGCAGAAGAAGACACTTTGATGTAGGTGCTCATAATTACGTAAAAGTTTTCATTTTCATTTTTTTTACTTTTCAAATATGATATTGTCATAGATCAGTATAAAAAGGTTATTTCTTTTGTCTGTTTTGTTGTTTAGCATTTATGCCTCTCTAGTCAAATCTCAGAATTCTTGCATTTTCCTTTCTCGTATTCCATTAAACAGAATGTACTATCACACCCATTCGCTGCAACCAATCAGACCTCAAGAGATGGACTTGGACAGCGAGGATGAGATTGACCCTCTCTGGCTTCAGCAGAGGACAAGCATGGTCAGCCAATCCGTCAATCTCACATCTTTATTGTTCTGTAGACTAATTCAAGGACTTGCCATTACCGAACACTTAAAACTCGAGGCGCATGCGCATGCATGTGGCGAGTCATACTTTCTTTGGTTTAAGAGGCATGTAATGTGCACGTGCGACCTGCCACCAAGAGTCGCACCATTGCAGTCATGGCTTCTAATTTTTGTCGCCAAATAAGTGTATAGCCCAGTATGGGTTCTCTGGACTCCCTGTGGGTTGTGGACTCCTGTAGATAAAGACTGCAAAATTATTCTTGGAGGTGAATCCGATGACCAGGGTAGCACTATCACTGATCATTGCCAGTATCCCCCGTCTTGTTGTTTGTTATTTGTTTGTTTGGTTCATTTCCATTCGTACTTTTAAACTTATCCATGTGAACTGTTTTGTGAAAGCCAACATTACCAATGCAGTGTCATAGGTGGTGTTTAAAGATAGTAATCCCCCCCCCCCCGATGTGTCAGCAATGCTGTACAGTATTTAACTCGCCAAAAACAGTTGCATTTTAAACCTGCACTTGCATTGTGGAGCAGTGTTAGTAACACTTTGCAGGTCATCTTTGTCTTTGAAACAGGGTTCCCAGCCAACCTGGAAATCAGGGAAAACCTGGAAAATGACTTCCCCTTTTCCAGTCTGAATAAAAGCCAGGGAATTTGAGAAGAGCCCCTCAAATCAGGGAAAAATCAGGGAATTTTGTTTGTCCAGTGGACAGACTTTCTTGTCTCATGTCCATACCGAACAGCCAATTCCCTAGATGATTGCATGGCTGTGGTGGCTTTGTAGTATGGCTTAGTGTAATTGTAATAAGTGTCTCTTTCTCTCTGTACCAATGTAGCTGTGGTGCATCTATAACCTTATAACCTTTAACTTGAACTCCTATAGTGTACACTATCATACTACAAAGCCAAAAGGGAGTAGCACCCCTTGCCTCCAGAGCTAGTGTTTCTCCTGTTACACCAGACTAACCCCATGATGTCTCAAGCAAGAAATAGGTCAAATTCAAAATGATGATCCTTGAATTTTTAACTTCCATCAGGGAAAAAAATTGGGGAATTTTGCTGGGAACCCTGTCCAAATGAGCCCGTGTGGTATTTCAGAAAGTGAGATCTTTCAGGCACAAAGCACACGTGCAAGTTTGCACTGATGGGGCTGACCTGCCACGTGCATCCAAATGACCTTGGACGCACTTCATTTGGGGCATGCTCTGTTGAAATACCAAATTGGCTCATTGGACAGTTCATAAGTTGTTTAATCTGTGGTGGGATGTGACAAAATCTATATTGAATGTTTTAATTCAGATTCCAGTTATTTCTACAGTCATGCAAACCCTCTGTGCCTTTTTTTGAATGGTAACTTTGTTGGCAGATGATTGATGAATTTACTGATGTCAATGAGGGTGAGAAAGAACTGATGAAACTCTGGAATCTTCATTGTATGGAACACAAGTAAGTAATCCAAGTGTTCAGCTTGTGAATGCTGCATTTCGATCCTTTACTTCAGTTGAGGTTTTGCAATTTGTCATCTTCAGACTGAACGTTTTAATCCTGGTATTCACATTTCAAAGGAGAGTTTTTTGCACATGTGTTTGGTTTTGGGCTAAGTGAAAAGGTTGGGTCTCTAGGTTTTACTTGTAATTTCTTGTGGATGTCCACAGAATTTGCTGTGGACAACATTTGGGGAACCTCTGAACAGTTGCACATCCAAGTTTCAAATCCAAGGTAATGTTACTGGAAATGAGACTCGAATCCCAGTATTGACTCAGTGCAGCAAATGGTTTTACTGCAGAGTTTCTTATTTTGAAGGAATCGAGTTGCTGCCCTAAAAATGCCCAAGGAGCAGGGTTAGAACCATGGGTAGATCGAGGTGGGGGGGACAAACAAAAAGATGTTTAGATTTTGAAAAAAAAAAGGAAAGGAAATTTTGGCTTTTATTTTGTTGCCTTCCCTTCAAGTAAAATGCCCCCAAATTGAGCCTCACCCATCAGAAAGACCCTAAAAGGTTACATGTAGAAATTCATAAACCTTTGCCCCCCCCCACATCGAAATGGTTTTGGATCTACCCTTTGTTAAAACTATTTTGCATTTTTTTTGGCTTGAAAGTTACTGGCATGTTTTTTTTCCTCACAGTTTCATAGCAGACAGCCACATCCCGCTCGCTTGTCAGCTTTTCATTGAGAAGCGAGGCCGGGAACTCCTCCGCCGCAACCTGTACCGTAACTTCCTTCTTCACGTGGTCAATATGTACGACTTCAGTCTCATCTCGCAGTCTGTCATCGTGCGCACCATGTTGCAGCTGGACCGCCTCAAGGAGACCATCACCAAGGAACGGAGGGAGATGGAGGCGGTCATCAAGGAGGAGCCCAAGGATCCGGTGGCCGTAGCTTTGAAGGAGGAGAAAGATGGAGCTGAGAGCTTTACAGATGCCATGGAGGATGTGACCAAGAGTTGAAGAGGCAAGGCAGGATGTGACGGAGACGGTTGCTGAGGAAGAACCAGTGGTTGCCAAGCAACCAAGGAGGCTGCTGATACAGTTGGAGAACTTTTAGGAGGCCAAAGTTGGAGCCTGGCCACATTGAAAAATGAAGCCAGGAGACTTTTTTATTTCCATAATACCAAAGGTGCCAAGTAAAACGTCATAGATTGCTATGGCAACAAACAAGATATGTTACTTGAGTGCTGGGAGATGCTTGTGGAGGATGTAGATGGAAGCTACTGACTTACCAGTGCATTGGACGATGTTCTGAGAAGACTTGAAATCCTGTTTGTTCAGACAATGGCATCACTGTAGAAAGGGGAAACGTTGGCCTGTCCACCATCATTTACTTGAAAACCTGGCATGCTTAAGAAAAGCCTGTCCATTTTTATGTAGTTTTCTATCGCAACCATAAGACACCTCAGTACAATGCATCTGTTAAACGTTCAGTGCAGAAAAAGAGTTGTGTCAAGAATACAGATGGCGATGCACCACTTCCATGCATGAATTTGCCTTCAGCAGTGCAAATTTTCCCATGCTGGTAGAATTGGGTTTTTACACACCCAGTTGAAAGTGGGTGAGGAGACTGCTGCTATTTCCCAAATTTTGGCTTTGTTTTTGGCCGTGTCTGCCTGTGATGCCAAACTCATTTTCGGACAATACTGGCGATTCACAAGAGTATGTCTCCAAGAAATTGCAACATGTTGATCAATCACAAGGTGCGAAATCTGCGGACCGTTTCCAAACGTGCCCTATGTCAACAGACTTCACGCACTGTGATTAGTCAACGGGTTGCAAACTCTTAGAGGGCACACTATTGTGAAATGCCCGTATTACTGTTAGAAGTGATGGTAATGCATCAACTCCAAACTTTGATAGGAGATTTGAAATTTTTCGTGCTCTGGAAAACGGAAACGTTGCACCGAAGTGTCACGGTCTTGGGCAACTTAAGTTGTGAAAGTGATGTCTGGAAGTCATCAATGGAAGTCACCGTTCAGCAGTGTTAGCCGCTTCCCATAGACATGCATATGACATGGCGAAGACGACCCAGCCACCACTCATTTGCACAGCTCAGTTTGAGAGAAATCTGCAGTCGGAGAACGGTGGGAGGTCAGAGGTTTAATTCTGCTTTCCTGACATGTTGAATGGGTTAATATTTTTCCAGTTACAGTGATTGGTCGTGAATGTCACAAAGGAGACCCTTTATAACTCCGGTGGGTCATTATCAAGGCAGGTGTATGAGACATAACATGGTGGGTGGGGGTGTTTGAGGGACCCCCCCATCCCCTTGTAGCTGCAGTTTGGAACTTCCCTACTGATGAGGCCAAGAAAATGCTGAAATGAAGCTCGTGTTGTGTGAGAAATAATTGGTGTTTCTACAAAACCAACTGATAGTACACATATTCCTACAGCAACTCAGGTTCTGCCAGATATTTTTAATGTCTAAAAGTGCCTTACATTTTATCCATCTTCGCTCTCTAAAAAATTGACTTTTTCTTTGGTTTCTTAGATTGTAATTCTGTCTTTGAGTTTGACTGTCATTGCATTATTTCTTGTCTCAATCACTGGCTGCGTGTTTCTGATGGCATCTTAGTGCTACACAGGTATACCTGTGAGCCAACAGTTGTTCTTGTATTGTTGATTTCGAAGAAATATTCTGCAGCCAAATCGTAAAAAAGCCACTGAGCTCACAAAGTGCATCTGTAGTCACTTGCTAATACTTTGCATTTGCGAAGAGGACCGAGGTGAGAAGAATATTTTCATTTCAAAAGAATTGTTTGCCTCGAGAAGAAAGTTTCTTTGCAGGAAAAATTTAGGCATCCTTTCCTTTTTCAAAAGAGAAGGCTAAGCTTTGCATTTGTTTTTTTTATTCGTCATAAAATTAAAAATAAGTAGCAATTTTTGCTGATAATGTTCCTAAAAGAATTTCAAATGTAAAGTCAACCCATTATTTGAAGCAAATTGGAGGCCTCTTGCTTGTATTATTTTGTACATTATATTTTTGTCGCTGTATATGTACTTCAGTAAATCTTTTTTTACTGCACATTATGGTACGAGTATGGTCTGAACATTCAAATTTGAACGAATTACATGAAAAACCAATGTCTGAGATTTGTTTTGTATTTTTCGTATTTTTCGTGTGTTAATTAGTAGAGGTGAAGAATGGAGCAAAAAAGTTGAATAAAATATCACGTTTTTGCAATAAACTGGCCTCTGTAGGAGTTTCTGTCTCTACGTAATACGGAAGCATATTGCTGCCAACGCGAAAAAAAATTCATCTTGTTTAAACGACGTATTATCTCGCTTAAACGACAGTGCTATCTCGTTTAAATGATACTGCGTTTAAACGAGCTACAATAAGAAATAACGAGATAGCTATATCGCGTTTAAACGAGATGATAAATCGTTTAAATGGGAGGAGTCATTTAAACGAGATAAAATAATGTTTCCGCGTTGGCAGCAATGCGCTTCCGTAACTAACTGTCCTGCGAGTTTTCTCAGAAGCACTATTATTTGATTAATTGGGATACAGCAGACTCTTTTAAACAGAAGTTAAATAATGACTTTTTGTATCAGTGAAATATCTGCCTGTGTAAAGATTGGAGAGTAGGACTATGAGTCCCGAGCTGGACCAAGAGAGGGTGCAAGTTTCCCAGCAACGGAGGCTCCTTTGGTCGGAAACGACTATGAAAATGCACACGTTACGCGCGCGTCGCTACCACCAAACTGAATCCCCCCGACCAACATGGCTCTTTTCAACCGATGAGGGGGTGCTTCTGCTCAAGGCAGATAGAAACGTGCGAATGATCTCTGGAGTAAACCTTCGCTATCATTAGCATGCTAATGAAAGGTGAACTGCTGATCTCTCAGTACCGGCACACGTAATCTTTTCACATCACTGAACAGGTTTAAGAGATTTAAGATAAGCACAAGTTTCGTTGCCCTTGTTCAAAAAATATGAGGTGGAAAGGGTCCGCTGGTGTACTATCTAATTCTTATGAGGGGTAAAGCTGTCTATGGTGGGATTTCTTTTACTTCCATTAATTTAGTGTAGAAGTAAACAGATAATCAATTGAGATGATTGTATCATCGATTTCGTAGGGATTGGCTTTGATAGAAAAACTTGTACATGCACCCCCCCCCCGTCGCCGCACCGCTGGGCATGCCATCAGTTGTGTGGGTTGTTTACTTTGTTTCATGACGCTTGCCGAAGTGGTTTCAGGATAAAGGCTGTGCATGAGAAAGTTTGGCAAAGACACGCTCTCTGATATCTTGATATTGCTGGATACAATAAATATATTAGACCACCAGGAACAAAGTCTAGACATAACTAGAGTGTAAAGCCTGAGGTACTAGGTGCGCGTCGCACTCGCGTACCTAGGGTATTAACCTGTATCTGGGACGTCACGATATTGTTTCCACTGCCTCATTCTTTTGCAGGAACGAAGCGTCTCTGATTTATAGAAAGTACAAGCTGTCGTTAAGTACGCCGAAACCCATTCCTTTGAACAGATGTAATGGTAGAGAACCACTAAGGTGTACGGTGTTGTTACGTAATAGTACATTTTTTGAAGTTTCAGCCACACCCATGTTAACCGCCACCATGAGGCGTGTGTACTTCTATTGGGGCCATGGCTATTCCATGAGACAGTGAGTGATTTGTTTTGCTGCATGGAGACACTTAACGACCTTTACTCGCTGATATCCTGGATAATCTCAAACGTTTCACCTCAAGTGGAATTAGAATAGAACCCACCGGTCTTCCGAAGTTCCAGGCCCTATTAGCAGCTTGACACGAGTACGTAAAGGTAAGAACTATACGTTCTTTTTTTTTAAACACATACAAATTTAAAAGCAATCATTCCTTAAATTGGGTTTATTGTCTTTGAAAACTGCAGTGTCGAACGCTGATGTTAACATCATCGGTAGTATGTAGGAATAAGGAGGCAAATAAACTTCACTATTTATTTCTGTCCGATCCTACCTACTCAAAGCGTCTCTTTTCATCCGAAAGAATTAGCTGTCGCCTCTATCGCTCCATTCGTGCAAAAAAAAATGAGTGTGAAACAATAGCAATACCTCAGAGATGGCGGTTACAAAAAGGAAATTTTTCACACATTATGGGGGGGGGGCGCCGTGTGGCCGTGGCGTGAACATACCGCGTTCTAAAGCCTATCGGGAAAAATATTGCATCCTGACTCCACTTTTCTCATCATATATCATCTCAATAAAGTCAGTCATTACAGAAATGTTGGAAAGACATGAATCCTGGACCTAGAAACATTTATCAATGTTGTTGGGAAATACTTAGAAAATTCTCTTCACTCCTCATAGACTTTGTACACAACTGCTGAAGTGGAGTCGGGATGCAACATTTTTCCGTGACTATATGGGGGGGGGGTGTCAAAACTTGCACTTTTCTCAACAGTGCTCTGTGCGCGTAGAATCAGGATTTGATATATACAGGTACATATACATTCAACGGCCTCTGCAGTTTCGATTAGATTTCTCGCTTTTTGTTGGTTCACTTTCCCGCTAACCGGCGACGTAGGGTGATATTACTGAACGTGTAAACCCGGAGGTGGACACATTTTCGTGGGGGGGGAGGTCACTGCAAGCAAACTAATTGTGGCTTGTACATATTCAAAATTTCAAATACAGCTACATGTATATATGTATATAAATGGACTTCTGTTAAGGGCGGCACGTGCCCTGTTGCCTCTTCCCCTAGCTACGTTACTGCCGCCAATCCTATACATATATTATTAAACTCTTGATATTGAAAACTCCAGCAAAAAATCGGATGTTGCGTTCCAAGGTTATTGGCGCATCTCTTGGCTATACATGTACAATGTACATGTATTGCCGTTTGCCTTGTACATGTACTTTTCATTGTCTGCCCGTCGTAAAGTTTTAAGATGATAACATTCAAGTCTGTGGTGACTTACAGAACATGTAACACATGTAATACCCACAGCACTCCCTAAGTAAATTCAAACATTTTTAATCGACAAAAATTAATGAGACAAAGTAGTTGACAGACGTAGAATCATATCTGCTTTTTTGAAGATGTGGTGGCTCTGAGAAGAGCCGTTTGGATATTTTTTAGTTGTGTGGCTGGCTGGCCGGAACTGTTTACTTCTTGGCGGTCTTCTTCGTTGGCTTCTTTGTCTTCTTCGTTGTTTTGGGCTTGGCCTTTTTCACCGTCTTTGCCTTGCTGGCTGCCGCAGGCTTCTTGGTGGCCTTCTTGGCCACGGGCTTCTTGTCCTTCTTGACTTGCTTCTTGGGAGACTTCTTCTTCTCTGTCTGCTTCTTCTTCGGGGACTTGGCCTTCTTTGCTGCTTTTTTGGCTGCCTTCTTGGCTGCGGCCTTCTCCCGCTTGACTTTGTTTATCTCCTTCTTTTTCTCCTTTATCGCCTTGGCCTTCTGGCGCGCCTTCTCCTTCTTGGCCTTGAGCGAGGCGGTGGCCTTGGCCTTTCGATTGTCCAGCTTGAAGGAGCCACTGGCCCCCTTGCCCTTGGTTTGCACCAGTTTCCCGGACGCCACCAGGGTCTTGATGCCTCGCTTGATGTGGTTGTCGTAGTTCGCCGGCAGGGTGTAGTTGGCGTGGATGTATTTCTTAATGGCCTGCAGGGAGGACCCGGAGCGGGGCTGGTCCTTCAGGTTGGCCAAGGCAGTCTGGATCATCTCCCCGGCTGACGGGTGGGTCGCCTTCTTCTTGGGAGCAGCCTTCTTGGGCTTTGCCGGCTTGGCAGTAGTTGTTTGCTCAGCCATTGTGATGGAGGCACAGAACTTAGATTCTGCGGTTTGAACGTGAACTTCTCAAAGCTACGGCGATAAAGCACTCATGATGAAGACACAGCGCACCGAGGTTTATATCGCATTATTGCGGACGCAGTATAAGTCACCAATTATGATTGCTAGGCGAACAGGTTTGTCCGCGAAATTTTTGCGCAAAATGGCCGCTGACTGGAAATGTGTGTTAGTGGGCATTTTTTCCACTGGATGTTTTTGGCAAAGAAACAGACGCAAAGTAATTTCATTGCTGACGCCGGTTACGGGATGAAATAGGCTTTCACATCGTTCGCAATGTGTTGATCTGTACTCGACTGAATTTGATGACAAATCAAGCGAATATAAAAGTTGAATAATATTTATTCGCAGTCTCAAAAACACACGCTTATTTTACAAAAACGACAGTAACGCCACCGATAAATCGTATCACAAATTAAACCTGTATCTTTGATTTGTAATTAGCATGACTTCTTTCCATTACAGGTCTCTGTGAAAATGTGAAACACTGGTATGAACTTGGGGTGGAAGGACGAGAAATGGGGCGACGCCATGTTGTGACAAATCATTTTCACCTGGAATAAGCTTTTGTCGTGTTCAATATTCACGTCCAATTTTACCCATTTATAACAATTAAACACAATATTTGAGTACCAGTATGGTGTGAAATGTTCCCTTTATCCCTCATTCGGTGTAAATTCTCAGACTCCGTCGCTCAATTGGGGAAAAATGGAAATGTAGGGAATGTGTTCAATCTCTATCAGAGGTCACGTCTCAGAAAAAAGTTGACGTCATAAAATGAAAAGCACGGGAGACTGTGAAAAAAGCATCTCCATTTTATGCCCAATTTATCAAAAATTATACTTCTTCTGAGGAGAAAAAATTTCTTCAATGCAAGTAAGGATGCTTCTTAACTCCAATAAGCTGAAATTAGAACTTGACACAAATTTAGGGAGGACATCTTCGTCTTTGGCATCTCAATACCCTCCGCTATTTTGTTACTTTATTTTTGCGGTGGAATCCAGTTGCTATTTTTAGTGGCTGGCTCCTAAGACGAAGCAGTGTTTAGGACCATATATAACTCATTTTGACCAAAATTTTTCATCATAAAACGCGTCTTTTTTAATGTGATAGTTAAATATATATTCAACTTGACCGAATTCCATCCACAAAAGGAGTTTTGTTCAAATTTTAAATTCGCTACGGCTTGCATTTTGAATGGTAAATGTTAAACTTTCCATGAGCCGATATCAGCCGAATGTGACGTTGACGCAAGAGTCGACACTTGAACGAACTTTATGTGATATACTTATAAATCAGGACTGACTGATAATTAGTGGCTATGTAATTCTTATATGTAAATCGATTATCTGGGAAACGATAGAATGTTACCAACGGGATAAACAGTTAAACACTGGAAAGATTGCAAATGGAATTTAATTCGCTTTATCGACAAATAAACGACACTCTAGAGCGTCCGGTCCGTAGCCGGTATGAGCTATGCCTACACATCGTCTGTGAAGTTCTGTTTCTGGAATCGAATCATGTTCGAAAGTACTGATGTAGGCCTAAATGTTAGTCAAATAATGACGTTTGAAAGGTTTTAAGGACTCACTGCAAAATGTTCTAGAGCTTGACTTTGTGAAGGGCTTTCCTGACAGATGTTAAATGATCACAACAAACACCTACGATTGGCGCCTATGTATAGGTCCGCCCACATTACAGGCGCGCTGATTTCGGTGCTAAGCTAAGCCGGGTATGAACTGCCTGGACAAAGTTTAAAGTGACACCACCTGACCCCCAGCCCCCAATAGAAAGTCTCTAGATTTTGTATACATGTACATCAAAAAGTCTCAGAGCTTTCTTTTTGAAGAAAATGTCATCTTGCATTCATTTGACAGTCAGAAGTGTATTCCTGATAACAGCAGCTGCCACAAAAACAAAATTCAGTTGCGAGTGTATTATATGTCGTCTTCATATCAATATTTTTCACAAAAAATGAATAACTTCATCATGCAGACTGAGGGAAAATGGCAGTGTTGGTCGTGAACAAATTGCAGTTCAACTGATTAATAATCATCTTTACACTTCAACTGTAGCTTGGAAAATGGAATTAGACTTCATTAGACATATTTTTGCCAAAGCAATATTCGTGGATTTTCAATGAGCATTCTCTGATGTACATGAGAGACGTCTAACTCACTCTCTGAAAAGACAAGGATAGCATTTTGTAAGGAACTGTAGAAAAAAACTAAAAGGGCCAATTTGGTGAAGCAAAAGGGGCACAAATTACTAGGGGGAGTTGGGTGTCTGTTTTATTCACTTTCTTTCCAAAAGTGAGTAAAAGACCCCACAATGTGGCCTCACCCTGAAGAAAAGCCATAAAAGGTTACTTGAACAACTTCCAAATCTTGGTTCTGGATCCTTGGCTATGGGAATGACTGAGTTTATTGACAGGATTTCATGCACAACTTTCACTGCTAAGGATGACAAATGTACATTCCTTTCCCTTGCCCCCTCCACCTGCCTCCATACCAAAACATCACTCAGACAGAGAATTCAGAAGAAGTTGAAATGTTCCCAATCAAGTAGCCTGGAAATTTTAATCTCTACATTAGTTTTATGGGTTCCTCCAAAGAAAAAAACCCACCATAGCCAGATGCGCACATGCGTAGTACCTTATGTACAACATGAATCCATGGTTCAATGCCAAGGTACACAAAAATGACGCATGGAGAATGACTCGAACAGTTCCATTTGTCGCAAGGAGATTACAGGGGCCTGAAAATTCCTAGCTGTCAAGCGCAAACTTTCCAGTAATCCAGCCTTACCCATAAATTGAGTGGAAGGAAATGTTATTGAGCACTCTTATTCATGGCTTCTTATGGAAATGCAGCGTGCAACTTCACTGCATCCCTTCATTGAGAGTTCTTCTCTAGCTGGAGGTAACTTGGCCGGAAGCCTGCGACTCCAAATTGTCCAGTGTGTTCCGCAGTTGGCAGATGGTTTGGAAGCTTGTTTGGAGATGGGCCAACGAGGCGGAGATTGCCATCAGTGCTTTGTCCTGTCAAGAGTTCAGGAAAATGACACATTCGCTACTCGTGTTTATAAAATAATGCTCCTGTTAATTTACAGAAGTTACTGAAGTTCACAAAGCACAGCCTACGTCAAACATAACGTCAGAAGAGTATTCCAATTAAACATTGCTTGTTCTAATGAGGAACACCTGCACTTCTATAGAAAACTATGCATGTTCCCTATTAAAAATGAGCGCTCCAGTGGGAACAGGACTGTTCAAACTTTTAAGATACTCCCTTACAGCATCTCCCTTGATGTCAAATGTTCAGAGTTTGCATCAAGAAAATGTCACCGATTCACAAAAATTTCACATCAAGGGAAAAGAACCACAAGATAAAAAAGTCCCTCACCAGGTGGCTAGCAAAGAAATATTTCTCCAAGAAGGTGCAATCTTTAAATGAAGGAGAAATAAAATCTGATCACAATCAGGATTTTGGGGCAAAATCAGAATACCCCATTCCATTGTAGAAGATGGCGATTAAGGAGGACTCACCATTTTCCCATCCTTTGTGTCAAACCCGCTAGCCCATTGGATAGTTTGCAGGTTGCTGCTAAGCTCTGCCAGGCAGGAAGCGGCAAGTGGGAAGAGCTCTTTCACGTACATGTGGAAGGCGGCCTCGATTTTGAGGTAGTCGCCGACAAAGGGCTGCTGGAGACGATTGATGAGGTGGTCCTTGCTCTGCACGATGGCTTGGAGGTGCGAACTGAGCGAGTCCAGTTGTGAAATCTTGGATTCTGAAAGCCACATACATCACAGAATTGTCAGAAAAATGTCCAACATTTCCACATCTTCAAAACACTACCTAAGCATCTACAAACTGCCGAACAATTTTGGTTGTACGAATTCGAGTTTCAGCCTTTTCTGGACAGGAAGCCCAAACACATGGTAAATTAAACAAGGAAAAATGGAAAATTGTAAAGTAGCATCCGAGGTGCAGGAGCAAAGTGACAACAGGATAAGAAGGAAAGCACCGCAGCAAACAGCAATGACTTACAAGGAGCAAAACAGTAATTCCTTTAATTTTATAATGCACCTTTTCCACTGTTCATTGCTATTTCTATTCTCTCCTGACACCCTAGCCCTTCTCTCTGTTTTATCCGTTCTCACCAAGAATGCCTAAATGCATGATATCCCTTGTCTCCTTGTCCATCAGTCGGCTCTGAATTTCCATATTTATCTGTCCAGGGAAAAAATTCCAAATACATGTAACTAACCCAATGATTGGCAGGGAGAGTTGTACGTACATTCATGAACACTACTTGAGAGCATCACATCTTGGATAAAGGTACCCAAATTCAAAATGAGGGAATATAAGGGACCTGCAATATACCAATCTGTGTGAGGGTCAAAGAAAAAGGAGATTCACAACATCTTGCATCAACACAGATTTGCGTTAAAGAGGCAACTTCTGGAGCAACTCTCCCCCTTCATCAATCAACCAATGAAAAAGAGCACAGCACAATCTATGTTTGTGGAAGCCAAACTTATGGGTGTAAGTTTAGCCTAAAAACTCTTTCGGTGAAAACTGCAAATATAACTACAAATAATGACTTCTTTTCACAGTGCACCACAGGATAATTTGGATCGTACATGTTTTACTCTACCACTGAGGACAGGCATGGAGGAACAATAGTTCCTGTCCTCAAATATCAATCCCTTCTGTCTCTGTAGCTAGTGGCTGTGCTCAGGCTAGGGGAGAGTGTTCAACGGTAAAAATAAAATACCACAGTCCTCTGTGGTGTAGTAACTGTGTGCACCTACGGTGGCAGTTTTTTTGAGTTAGGACCCTGACCTCACCTTGTCTAGTTGTTGACCTTTAGCTGTCATTTCTTTCAGCTGTTGTATGAGACGCAAGGAGGGTGATGTGTTATGTAGGGACTGGACCATCTCGCTAAGTACTTCATCTCTCCTCTGTTAAATTTCAGAAATTGAAAAAACCAGATCATGACATCAGATCATAATGATCAAGTTACACATTTTCAATAAACCACTACCGTAAGATGTTAAACAGGCTCAGAATTGTCAAGCTGGCTTTTAACTTGTCGCCACCTTTGCTTAAAGCTGCCATGCTATCAAAGAACAGAATTACTAGTGCGAAAAGAGGACCCACTTTCTTGGGCAAACCCTCACATTGAAATGCTACACCTCAACTGCACCATCAGTCCCAACTTCAGTGAATATGATTCTGAGTATATGTTGCTGCAATTGGACCAGCCCAACTGCATGCAGTGAGCAAGTTTCAATCAATGCCACTGATGCCTCCTCTCAAAAGTGTCTCAACTTCTTCCGTGTTTTGTAGCTCATAAGCAAACCTGGCCCACTCTTGACTTGGAAATCTCTACTGATAGCATCCTGTTCGGGCTGTCGCAAAAGTATGGTCTGCCCTAGTCTTGATGTAAGACCTGGGCGTGCACTGTTTGTTTACCAACATGTTGTATACACATTACTTAAGAGGAGGAAACAACAGAGAATAATGGTTCGTGAGTGTAAGCAGTAGTGTTGATTTGAATTTATAGCACCTTTGTTTAGCCGTAGCTTACACAATAATATAACCCCAACAGCTTGGGCCAAGACAAGGATTGCCCTTGACTCTCCACATTTCTCACGGCAAAATTCATCCGAAAACACAAGCCATTTCATCCATGACTTGAACAATTGATTGGATTTTGCCTGTGCGCATGTTCACTTTGGCAACCAGCACGACCTGTGTAAGACCCAAGCGCAGCACTATGGTTAGGCTCGCCAAGCATACATCTGATTGATACTGTAGCTGGTGTGTAACGGAAAAAAAAGAACAAGAGTCAAACTGATCTGCGATTCATACAAATGGAAAACAAACATTGTTGACCTACACACTGTGATGCTCTAGTCAACCCCAGCCTCCTTCAAAGCACCAGGCACAGTATGGATCCTACAAGAGCTCACCTCAATGGAACTTTGTTGTTACCCTTTGCGATATGTTCTGTCAAAGTTATCGGTGGATCTGCTTGATGAGTTTGTCGCAGCACTATCGGTCAATCATGTGGCATAATCTATTGATCCTAGCACCATCAGGCAACCATTTTTATTCTAATTCTGTAGTTTCCAAGCGGAGAAGTCTACCGCCGAGACAAGACTTTCATCACAGCTGTTTTCACTATGCGAATGTCTGCCTTAAGGTTACCCTGGTTGAAATGGACGCAACGGGGTCACTAATGTGCAGATAAGCACAGTAAAAAATGTACACTCAGTCGTGGGATTGGTGTATTTTCGATTCTGTGAAATAGTTTCATGAAAAAAAGA